CCTTAAATAGGGTGTATATACTTTTATTTTAAATTAAAATAAAAGTATTAATTAGCAGACATTGTTAAAAAGCATTAAAAGATCTGATTTGGATCAAAGAGTAAAATGTAATTATAATTAATAAAGGTGAATAAATAATAAATAATAAAGCTAAATAAAAGATAGTAACTGTTTAAACTTTGGTATTTTATAATAGATGAAAAACCTAAGAATAGAAGACAATATAAAAGAAAAATTAAGAGGCTCTTAAAGTATTAATATATTTTAGACTAATTATTAACAATTTAGAGTGATTGTAAGAGTTACTCTTAAATAAAATTATCAGTTGATTTTTTTATAATAAGTTTCAGAATATTATTCCGATAAAGTAAGCCATATATAATCTTATTATGCTTGATGATCAATAATCAATAGATATAGAAAAAAACTCAATTTAATTTAAATTCACTACAAAATTACTTATTTTAGAACGGATAATGAATATACTCAATTTTCAAATAGTTGTTTGTAATTAGGGTCTACTTGTATGATCTAGTATTTATTAATGTATTTTAAATATCATAATACTTTATAAACTTATAGTGTAGTAAAACTATTTTTCTATCAAATAAAGTATTTTATCCCTTATAAATTTAACCTTTATTCTAAGTATACTTCATTATTTGTTTTCAGTACTCAAGTTTTTCTCCACTTCGTATTTATTAATCCAATTAGAAAACTTAAAAACTCATATAATTTTTCTCTTTATATTTAAGGCTATAAATCTTTGTTAAATCTTCATCTTTATCTATCCTTTTTTTCTGTTGAATTCTTTAATTTGCTTTCATTTGGAGCTTTCTAGTGTATTTCATAGTTTTTACCATAAGATGAGCAATTTTCAAATAATCAAAAAAATTATTTTTCAAATTAATGAGATAGTATGCGAATTTCTTTCAAAATTTTAAGGATTTTTTATTTATTAATTTATTTTATCAATCCTCCATTAAATAAAAGTGTCTAATCTTCATAATTATAATTAAAATTCTTTTTTTGACATATATAATAATCAAAAACAAAGCTCTAAATTTAGTTTCAACGATTTTGATACCCTATTATTTCTTCAATCACTTAAATCAATCAGATATACAGTACTTCTTCTTTTTGGAATATTTTAAACCATTTCATTTATTCAAGCAGATTATAGCTTTAAATTGGTCCCTATTTAAGTGCCAACATCTATAATTATTATTAATTATGGTAAAAATATTCTATCTAAATAAATCTTATGGAGTCCAAATATGAATTGCTTCATCTTCCTCTATAATCTTGCTGTAAAATCATAAAAAAAATTGTACAATTAATAAAATGCTGTCTCAATTACCCAGATTATATCCTTAATTTTTTTAATTTAATAAATCTATCGTTACTTTACCTTAAAGTTAAGATAGATAAAGTAAATTATTTATTCTTAATTAAGATATTTTTGAATGAATTTGAAAATTAAATTTTAAATTAGACCAAAAATATATATTGGATATAAATTTATAATTGTTTTTTTTTAATTTTACTGTTGGAAATTAATAATTTTTTTGAAATCTATAAAATTATATCTAATTATAGTTTGCAGTAGATTTCTTCAATATAAATGCTATTACTAACTCAATTTATGAATTTAATTTTTTAATTTAAACAAATTATTTTTATTTATGAATATTTATAAACACTCTTAAGTTTCTTATTTTTCTTCATAAAAAAGGATTATAATTTGATTACATACTGCTTTAGTATATGAATTACAAAAATCTAAAACTATACTATTCAGAATCAAAAAATATAAATAATAAAAAATTCAATTGTTATGAAAATTACAACTCTTTATTAGAGCATAATGTTCCAAGTTAAAAAAATGTCAGTAACATTTTTCACAATAGAAATGCCCATTTTAATAAAATTGCTCCCCAATTATATATTATATATAGTATGACCCATATCTATTCTGTACTAACTTAGTTATCTGAAACTTATTTAACTTTGCTTAGTATCAATATTAATGAGAACACATCACAAATATATATTCAATTTAATCAATTTTGTCTGCTTCTATTTTTTATCTTACTGAAATATCAGAAATCAATTTTAATTATTGTTTCTATATTGTCAAAAGGATAGACCAATTTGTAACATTTTAATAAAGGAATCTACATGAATCTTTTCTTTTTTAAATTTATTATTCTTACAATCTACAACATTCAATAAAAGATTAGCAGATTTCACATACTTCAAAATAATGCTACTTTAAGGATATTCTACTATATTCCAATTAATGATTGAATGCAGAAATGAATCCATAATGTTAGTTAGCTTTCATTTATTTAATCTTGGAATATAAAAAAATTAAAATTTGAATTTATTTTTTCCATTCAACTAAATTAAATTAAGTGGATTTTTGAAAAATTTATAATGGGGATGCGGAAACATTTATTACAGATAATGTGATGGCAAAATAAGGTAAAATGATTGCAGTATAATAATTATGACATAATAAGAAATATAAATAATAATTAACAAAAATTAAGTTTTTTTAGCAATTAAATATTAATTATTAAAAATATGGAGAGAAGCTTCAAAAATTCTAATAGTTTAAAAATCATTATTTTAAAAATACTTTCAGATTGCAAAAATCAGTTACAAATATTCACTATCAATTGTGTAACTTTTAATTATCAATTAAAAATTCATTGCTTTTTTTTTATATTTTAATATTAAATCAGAAAACTCTTTTGTTCATGATTAACAAAATTATGAATAAAAAATATCAAAAGTTAGAATGATTAAGTTTAGAATTAATTGAATATCCAATTTTTTCGAAAATGTTGCACCTAGATGATATTTCTTATTCTAACAGAATATAATTTTGTAATTTATTTATTTATATGTATTATTGAATAATATTTGACTCATTATTATTTATTAATTAATTTTTCACATTTAGCTAGAGATATAAATTAATAAAAATACCTTTGCCATTTTTGGATGGTGAAAAATTTGGATCGATTTAAATAGACTTTTCATAATAAATAATTGCTTCTGAATATCTTTATAATGATTGTAAGCATTTACCTATATAAATATAAATATAAAAAACCTCTTAAGTATAAAGAGTAACAATTATTTGGTTTACAATTCAATGCTTGGTCAATAATCTAAAGAGCTTACTCATATTTACCCATTTCGTGTAATGATTAACCCATATTAGAAATGAATAATTACATTTTGTTTATAATGAATTGAGATGTTTTGAATCAATAGACAAAGCTTTATCAGCCCATATAATTGCATCATTACAATTACCTAAATTATATAAACTTCTGGCTAATACATTTATCTATAATTTTAATACCTTTATAATATAATGAATCGATATGCTTTGAATCAATAGACAAAGCTTTATCAGCCCATATAATCGCATCATTATAATTACTTAAATAAAATAAACACTAGGCTAATACATTTATCTATAATTTTTATACCTTTATAATTTAATGAATCGATATGTTTTGAATCAATAGACAAAGCTTTATCAGCCCATATAATCGCATCATTATAATTATCTAAATAATATAAACTTCTGGCTAATACATTTATCTATAATTTTAATACCTTTATAATTTAATGAATCTAAATGTTTTGTATTTATGAATAATGCAGCATCGAAGAGTTTTATTGCTTCTTTATATTTACTATCCCAATATAATTTATAACCTAAATAAATCATATCAATACCTTATTTATATAATTCTTCTACTTTTTATTTTTCTTGTTCTTGTTCTTATTTATTTTATTAACTATTATGTTATTGCTTTAGTTTCAAATCTTTAATTAGTATTTTTAATTAATTGACCATATTATCAGAACATGTCTCTAGTTCTTGTAATAAATCTATTTTAATTTCATCAAACTAAATTATTTAATCTAAAGCTTAATTCAATTGCTTTGCATTTAATTGTTACAATCTTTCTTTAGAAAATTGAAATGTTTTTCTCAATTCTTAATTTAATTCTATAAAGAGTTCCCTTATTTCTTCAACCATCGAACACAATTTTGATATTAAATTTTCACTTTCTTGTTCAATTTTATGAAAAAATTCAATTAATTCAATTAAATTCTTTTAATCCTTTTGATGAGCAACATGATCTCCATTTTTAAGACATTAATGACAATAAACTCTATTAGCTTTACATAGTTTATTCACACAAGCTAATTCTAAAAACTCATGTTATTCTATTGGACATTTTAAATGAAGCCCTTGGATCTTTTTCATAGATATTAATTTTATTTCTAATTATATAAACTTAATTTAATATTTTATGTATTAATATTAACAGAATTATTTTTCAATTTAGGAGGGAAGAGCTATAATATTAGTTTTATTCAGTTACATTCTTTAAAACTTTATAAATCCAGAAAATAACAAACATAAAAGAACTTTATTAGAAAACAATCAAATTTAACAGAGATCATTATCTATAATTAGAAAATATTTCAAAAAGGTTATAATCAAATTATTGTAATCTTTAATAGATATACATACAATAAATAAGATAACATAAAAATAAACATTATTAAATTATCAATTTCTTCAATAAACTTTTTGAATTTTTTAATAGAAATATTTGAGGATTGACTATCCCATGTGATTAAATTTCTCCATCATCACTTAATATTCCATAAACATATTAATCTGCAAATTCTATAGATTTTTATAATAAATAAATATAGTGAATATGCCTTATATTCTTTGTGACAATTAGATGATTACTGAAATTGTATTAAGATCGAAAAAGTAAATGACGATTTTAACATTCTCCAGCAGCATCAATATATTTTGTTAATTAAAAATCTCCAATCTGATTAATTTTATATAAATGCAAATAAGAGCTTTTTTTCAGGTTGGAATGTAATTGTGAATTCATCAATGAAATTAAAACAATAACAAAAATGAGATTTAAAGACCATAATACAATATTGGAATCCATTGAACTTGTAAAGAATGAAGAATTGTTCAAAAAGTTATTTAAAGTGGTGACATAATTACTATGATTTCTAAAATTTTGTAAATATTTCAATTAAGTAAATTAAAATTAAAATAAAGTGATAGAAGAGTCACTAGATACAAAAATGAATGAATCATTTTTAATAATTCAAATAGCTTAACAATATTTTAAAAATTTTATTGAATTCTCTTCCATAAAGGATTTGGATTTTTTTCGACTGGTAAAGTTCTAATTTTAGGCATTCCTATTAATAAATTATGTTAAAAATATGTGTAAAATATTAAATTTGGAATTTTTTAATTTCATAAACTTATACTTATTTTATAATGTTATTATCATAAAAAATAATCATAAAAAACATGTAGATAGGATTTAAGATAAAATCATTATGTTGGTCTTAAATCCTTATAAAAGTGCTTTCATCTCATCTATAATAAGTATAAAATTTAATCTTATATTTGTTGATTTAACTGATGCTTTCTAATTATTTACTATTTTAATCATTAAATATTTTTTTTGTTAAGAATCACTTAGTATGGATAATCAAAATAAAAAGTATAACTAAACTTCATCTTAAAATAATATATATATAAATAAAATACCACTAGCTCAATGTTTTATTAAGGAAATTATAAGAAGAGTAGAAGAGGCTTATTGAAGAAGAAAGAAGAAGGATTGTAGTAAAAGAAAGAATTAAATAGAAATAAGAAAAATGAAGATACCAATAAAAGTTGAAGCAACAAAAATTACAGCGGTTAATTAAAAATAAATTTAGGTTGAAAGATTTTAGAATGCTTTTATTTCAATATCTCAACTGTAACAAAAATGGAAGGAAAATAGCTAGTTCAATATAAAGTTATGCGTTAAAAAGAGATGACTGAATTTAAGTACTTAAGTTTCATGTCCCCTTATCATTTGAAGGAGCAGAGGAATGAAAGCTACATGTTCTATTCTTTATGCCAATACTTCTATTGACATCTTTTTGAAAGAGATCCTCAACTAACTGATATTTTCTCAAATCTAAACATTTCAACTATCTATATTTTCGATAAAGCTTAATCTAATACAAACTTCTTTATAACTATATATTAATAATTATTATTTCAATTATCTTTAGTTGATCATGAAAATTGCGAATCTTTGTTATTGCGCTTTTTTTAAAATATTTGTCACCAATGTTCAAGGAATTCATATTAACAATATTTTTTAAAATTCATATCCATATCCAGTTTAACAGATAGATCCAAAAATTATTGCCTATTAAATCTTTGGAATGAATAAGAGAAATTCAATTCTTAAAAAGCAAAAAGCTCATTAGATTGCTAAATAATTTAATAAAGATTTAAATCTTAAACACCCATTTTTATATTCCTCAATATATTAGTGATTTTTACAAAATAATAATACCCATCCCTTTACATCAATCAATTTTCCGTTTTCAACCTCCTCTATTATATTTTTATAATCAATAATATTTTTACATTTATTTGTTATCCAATTTGAAATCTAAAGGCAAATGGTTTGTTCTTTTTCCCTAAAATATTTAAAAAAATACTTATGAATAATTTCAATAATTATAAGATAATCTCTTAAAATCAAATAGTTCCATTAGCTTATTTAATAACTAATAACTCTATATTCTCTTTTAATTGTTTATATAAGATTATTCTAGATTTATTTATTTTTTATTTTTTTAAATTTTAGCATTATATTTATCGTCTCTTTTTTCTGTTGTGAGATTATAGATTATTTACATTAATTGGTTATTTATTTAATAAAACCGTTTCAATTAAATAATCATTTCTTATTTACTGCTTTATTCTGTAAATAGTTATTCTAATTAGTACTGATAAATTCAATCAGGTGAGTTGAGTAATATGCTTTTTACATAGGCCTTTGCAAAGCTACTCCAGCTTTCTAGACTTTAAAGCTACACATTTTTTGTATTTTAATCCAACTTTAAACATTTTTTACTTCTAAGATATTGATAAAAATCTAATTCAGTAAGATAGTTATCAAAAGGATTAAAAGTTTATTAAGAGTACTGTTACTTAAACCTTTCATCTATTTTTTTTGGATATCAGATATTCCATTCAATCTAAGGTAAATTATATTTTAATTTAGATCATGAAGGTATTTTACTTAATTATTTTACGATGCTTTCGCATTAGATTTTCATTCTTCTTTAAACTTAATCAAATAATCAAGTAATACTTCCTAATTTATGGCTACTTATTTTGAGTGTTTTATTTCTGAAGCATATTTATAACTATTGGTTGAATAATATCTATTATAAAAAACTAAAATTATATTTATACATGGCTATTGGTTATGATTATGTTGCATTAAATGTTAATATTTTTTATGTATCATTAGAGAATCTTAAAAGAAAATTAAGATTAAAAATAATATAATGTAAATACCTAGAAAATTTTGATTTCATCTTCGATTAAAAATCAGATTGAGTAATATTTTATCAGAAGAATATTACATCTAATTTAATGTATCATCGTAGTCAGAAAAATGAATTTGATAACTTTTCAAAATATAATAATAAAAAATTTTATTTCACAATTTCCTTTAATATCATTAAAAAAAATTAAATCCTCAAATAGAAAAGTAACTTATATATGATTTTTTGTATTGGATATTGCATATAAAAATTTCTAGTCTTTTTTTAATCCTGAAGAACTCACAAATAATAATTTTTTTGCTTAAAAAGTAACTAAAAG